ATATAATAAATAATAATAATAAAATATAAGAATAAAATAAATAAAATAAAAATGTTAATTAAGTTAAAAATGCTAATAATGTTAATAACGTTGATCATTTTTCAATCTTTCTAGCATAGTAAGATTAACTTTATACAGTATCAGTGTAAATCAAAATAGATAAAAATATTTTTTGATAATAGTAGACATTATTATTATTTAGAAATGATAGTAATAATTCAAAATTAGTATTAATGGTATGATATAAATGTATGTAGTTGGTATTTCTTTTAGCCTGAAGAAGTCAAATTTCTAGTTGATTTATATTATGCTATGGTAAAATCACTTTTAAATAGTTACCATTTGCTTTTTTTTTTTTAGTTATTTTTATTTTAATTAATAGATATTCTATATAATAAAAGATTTATATGAGTAAGACATATTTTTGATACTGGAGAAAAATTTAAACTGCTTTTGAGAATTTACAGAGAATTTCAATTGCAAATATTGAACCCTATCAAAATCATGTAACTATCAAAACAATAAATAATATATTTAATTTATTATATAAGAAATAACCTAATGATAGAGAAGATGTTAGGTTATTCTAGATTAATCTTTATTATATATTAGAAACTAAATGTTTTTTTACCTTTAAATATTACAAATTAGTAAAAAACTAATTTACAAGCTAATACTAAGTATCACGCTATACATAAGACCAAAATAATTCTGAACAATACCATTACCATAAGAAAAGACAAAAAATTTTTATATGTTTAATAATTGATATAATTAATATTATAAAAAGAGATTATTATCTAAATTTAAACCCTTCTCTTTCTTTTAAAAGCTACTAATTTGAAAGCTAACTAATTATACTTATCACTTTTCTTTCATTTTCTTTTAATTTCTAATCTAACCGTAAATGCAAAATACAATCTTTAAAATAAAGAAGTAAATATATTACAAATTTTAATCCCTTTTTTCTCTTTTTTAAACCCAAAGCTAACCAACATTCTATTTTAATTTTAAATACAAATTTTGATTTTTCAAAGAGAAAAGGATATAGAAAAATATATTTTTATGTTAATTTAATGGTTCATAAAATTTTTACTAACCAAAACTATTATGATCTATTTACCTAGAAATTGTATATAATTTTACACTTTCAAGTGGCTGGGCATTGAAAACAATTAAGTAATGCAGATCAGGAAAGCAAATGACAGAAAAAGTCGGATCCTATCTCTAAACATTCTTTTTAGCAGGTGATGAAAATAAAACTGAAAGAATGTCAACTAATGAAATGGTAAAAAAATTGAAAGAATAAGTAAATAAAGGTAAAATACAAGTTGATGATGTTCGAGCCTCAACTACTTTAAGAAAACAAGCAGCAGCAGATCGAAGACAGGCTGAACATTATTATAGTGAAACTAGTCCAGCTGGAGAATGTTCTGATAGTGTAAATGCTAATGTTAAAGAAACTCAGACTAAAACAACGCGTAAAAAGAATAAATAGGCGTTGAAATTAATGGTTGATTATTTCAAAAATTGCCTTTATTTTCTTTACTACAAAAAATAACAAATAAAATAAAAAAATAAATATATTCTAATTGAAGGTAGTGAATGTAAAAAAAAAATTACTAAATAAAACAAAATGTATTTCATAGCGAAATGTGCTAAACTTTGCATCTCGAAATCTGCGATTCCGGAGTTTAAAGAGTCAGCTTATGTGTGGCATTTATGAAACAGATAATCCTTGCCATTTAACAGCCCTAGCGTCGCCACCAAAAAATGGTAGCCGGATTTTATTTACCGAGTCACATATACTTATTAGGGGTGACATATAATTGTGACAATTAGCATTTTTCTCTCAATAATTTCTAAGTCCCCAGAATACTTAGTAAATTGAAGAACGGCTGGGATGTGACGCATGTGACAAATTTGCTAATCCCCTTAAACTAATCCTAATTCTACTCTAATCCTAATCCTAATCCAAACCCTAACTCTAATACTAACCCTAATAACAAATACCTGACAAATAAAATCCGGTTACCATTTTTTGGTGGCGACGCTAGGACTGATCGTCAATTAAATTAAATTTGTCATGATCGTTTATTTCTCTTAGAATTTTATGAACGATAAACTAAACCTACAAAATCTCGATAGAATGATGGTTCAACCTTACCAGATAATTTCCTTCTCTACTTTCACGGTAACAATACGAATTGGTTTAGTCATTCGGTTAACCTCACTTCTTATCTAACTAAGAATAACTGATATATATGATCCCAATTGCATATAATTTGGCGCAGAGTCGGTCGGCAGATATTTTTTGTTTCTTTATATATACCGGCTTATATTCGATCGAATATTATTAAAGTTTAAAACTTGAATTTTCGTTTTATTAATGCGAATAATTCGACCTGAGTCGTAATTTTTATTTGTTTTATCGTGCTTCTAATAAATAAATCTCATCACGTGCGAAATTTTTTACCGTACATAAAGATATTTTTTTCTAAGCATTATATCCGTTGTACGTGTAGACTTTGTAGACCACTTTCATTCTACATAAGAGACTTCCATTTGCACAATGTTTTTTAATCAACGTAAGAATAATAAATTGCAGCTAAATAATGAAACGAAACTAGAGTACATTTAGAGACATATATTTTGAACTATTTAATGAAAGGTTAAATTTTTTTTTTAA